ATAAAAAGGAGATCAGGGGGTGAAGAGGAAAAACTGCTGAAACAGTTTCTTTAGAAAGAATGATTGCCACAGTCCGTATGGGGCCAGGGCCAGCAGAAGCACTGTCCTTCCACTCAGAGTTAGCAAGGAGGGCTTCCGTGGCGCTTGGGTATGTTCGCTGCTGTTGGAAGACACAAAGGACTGCTGCTGGATTCGTGCTTAAGGATGCTAAAATAGGCTTTGACGAGAAGACGAGAAGATAGAATGGCTAGGTTGAGATCAGTCTGCACTTCCAGAGTTGCTGGGGTAAGGGATGTGTAATTGTCTTTCATAGACCATATGTCACCTGAGAGAGAGAGAGAACCAAGGTGGAGTCATTCTGGGTTTCGTTCAGTAGAGCTATCTGGGGGGACAGAGGACCCCTACAGCAGGGAGAGAAAAGAGGTGAACTCCAGATTCTCACGGGCTGAGAAAGGAGTAGCAAGTGACCACCCAGAGTAGAGAAGCATCTACTTGGATCAAGATGTACGCACAGAAATCAGAATCTCTAGAAAAGCTCCTATAGTGCCCAAGGAAAGAAGAGTTAGTTCTTCTGTTGGGCTTCACCCGGGCAGAAGACCAAAGTGAAGCCACCCTGCCAGGTAAGAGCAGGCATGCCCCTTTATCCTCTGCCTTGCCCCTGATGGAGATACAGCCGCTGGGGTGTTGGGCAGGAGGTAAGAGAGAAAAAAGAGCTCAAGGGCGAATCCTACTCTTCTTTAAACATAGGCAGCTGCCAACTGCTGCCCTCGGCTTGGAGCACAGGGAGAAATCTTAACCTTTGAATGAAGCTGGAAGCATTTTTACTCATAGTAGTCACATTCTAAATGCTACTTTGAGGCCGCGTGTGGAGCGATGGTCGGACTCTCTGTTCCCAAGAATGAACAGAAAAGTCATGGGATTTTCTAAAGTTTCCATTCAGAGCAGGAGAAGATTAGCTAGTGAATATATTTTAAATCGATGGTAAAATACGTTATGTTTTGATTATTACAAATGGTTCTTAGTCAACACTTGGTTATATATTTAAATATTAGATGAAACTCGGACTTAGGGGGGGAGAGGGGGCAAGGGCAACATACGTAACCTAAACATCTGTACCCCCATAATATGCTGAAATAAAAAAAAAATATATTAGGGCTGATAGATTCTAAACAAATGCTATTTCTTGCTTATCTTTCCTGATCTGAAATCCGCATCTTGAAAACTATACATGTTGGGGAATGACAAAATATCTGTTAGCACAGATATTAATATTTTATTCTGTATGGGAAGAAACTGCTAGGAACCTCCTCTCCCTTAATCCATTAGCATATCTTAGTTTGGAAAATGAACAGCCATTTTGAAAGCCTAGCCACCTAGGGCGCGGTTGCTGGAATTTTCCAGCGTGTACAACATCTGAGAGGTCATCTTAAAGGACGGGACAGTCTTCCGACCAGGACCCAGGTTACAGGGCCATCTCCAGAAAAGATGCTGGAATCTTCACACAGAAGGCCTCTACTCTCTACAATAATGTATGTTTTTCGATTTTTAGATTGTTAAATCCCTCCAGGTGGAGTTTGGGTTCCTCAAACAGTTGCTTCAGTTGAAGTTTGAGGACAGACTTAAAGAGGAGTCTTACAATCTCCTCAATGTTCTACGTGACAGGATCGGAGAGCTCGAAAAACACCGTCAACAGGTAGCCATTCTCTCCTTTCCTTTGTTTTACGTGTGGGTTGATCTTCTGCGTTGATATGTATGACTGCAGTTTTGAATTTAGAACTTATGAGAGCGATTGCATTTACATAGGTTATGTCTCATGTAGTAGTTAATACATAGAGTTTTACTCTGTGTCAGAAACTTTTGCAAGCACTTGGTATATGAACTCACATAATCCTTACACGAACCTTATGAAGTAGGTAAAATTCTTTCCCCTCTTTTACAGATGAGAAAACTGGGGCACAGAAAGGTTAGTTAACTTGCTCAAGGTCACCATTAAAAAACAGCAGAGCTTAGGTTCCAGGCCAGGCAGCTTGATGCTTGATGCTCTTAACCACAGTTTCATATGATCTTATTTGTTCTTTAATGGCTCTGTGGGAGCCAAAGACATAAAAACTGCTGCTTTAAGGAATTTCCTAAAATCTTTGGTCAGGGTAGCATATTTATCTGTTATCAGCATGCGTCGCTATTATTTCTGTGCTATAGAACAAAAAAACAAAAAACCTCCAGTTTTATGGTTTTTTTTTTAAGTTTTGGAGGAGCGCTATTTTATTGAAAATATCTGCTGTTCACATTTTATATTATCAAAATTGAGACAAGCATTTACAGCCAAGAAAGGAGGAGAGGAAGAGGGGGAGACGTGTTCAAGAGTTAGAGAGTTAGTGGCGGAAAAACCCCATCTTTTGCTAACTGCACCATACTAAGTATTGTGCTGAACCTTTTAAATATATTTACTCTGTAAGTCCCTCAAAATCCTAAAATGGAAATTCTATTATCCCTGATCTACAGATAAACTGCGCTTGCCAAGTTTAAGTAACTTGCTTAAGGTCAGACAGGAAGGGGCACGATGATATTTAAATTCAACCCTATCTGACTCTAAGGCCTGTTTGTTGTTGACACTCCGTGCTGGAATCAGAACTGAGATCAGAATCAAAGATATTTTTTAAACATGTCCTATCTTTCACTATTATCCTAAACAGATACAATCGAATTATTTGATTAATCAGAAAATAACTCTAGTATATAAATAAGCCACCCTAGGTTTCTTTTCGTGGGCATATCCCATTCGAAAAAGCACAAGGATCAGAAGAAGATATGAATCCCAAATGGATTTTACTACTCTTAAAAGCAGTTCTAGGAAGGCACTAAAAGACTTGACTTGATATATAAGATGAAATGGAGTGTCCAAATTGTGTGTATTTTATCTGTATGATCTCTCTATTGCTTTTGGTTAAGTATAAGTAAAAATTGAATGTGTTGTAATAGCTGTAGTGAGGGGGAAATTATTGGAAATTGAAGTTTTCAACACATTGTGATGATTTGGATGATTATTTTTTTTAGCACGAGTCCCTCCCTAGTAGGTGTGAGTCACATTTGGAAATACATCGTGGTGCTTATTGTATTTATTTTTGGTTTGCAGAATGAGGATAATATGAGAAAATGCTTCTATCAGCAGTTAGCTGACGCCATAGCTGTTGTCAAAGGAATGTACCAGGTGGGTTTTTGGTGGCGTCCTGGGCGAGGCCAGCTTCCGTTCCTGCGAGTGCGTGGAGCGGCGCTCGCTTTGGGTTCCCAGTCTATCTTTTTAGCTTTGAAGGTCTGTTTCCTCAACTTTCAGGTCATCTCAGAGGGACCGGGCCTAAGACTATTCATGCTCACGTTAAATTTACCAAAATAGTACCTTTATGACGACAGATCAAACTTTTCAGAAACTGGGAAATTCTATTCTGGTATCCAAGCACCTGGGTAGGTATCGAAGTAATCCAAAGTTTGTTTGCTGAGGACGCAACTGGGTAGAAGAAAGTCAGACAGTCCTAAGAGAGAACTCATGGGGTCTGTGGCTAAGCCCAGTGAACAGCCCCCGACCCTCGATGGAGGAACTTTGCGATGATGGGGACACTTCTATCTGCCAGACGTGGTGCTTCACTCCTCCTCACAATGGGAAAATTTATATTTTCTATCAATTTTTTTAGACTTAGTAAGGACCTTGAGCTTCTTTTAGTATTTATAACTATAATCT